AACAACTTCGCAGCAAAAGAAATATGTTTATATAAAATAAAAATTCACATAAAACCTCTAACTTTTTACCTTTAAGCATTAATCTCTCCATCATAAATTTATAAATTTCAGTCAGTTTTTGAAATTTGCTTTAAATAAATTTGGATCATAAAACAAAATAAACTTTTTTGAATGAAATAAGTAAATTTGCTTTGTAACAATATAGTTAATTCAATCCAATTGAATCTATAAAAGCGAAAAAGAGCGATTAATTCAGAAACGAAAGGGGACCACGCAAAAGACGAGAATCGACTTTTAGTCGTTCGTTAAATTTTTTATAGTCGTTCATTAAACCTATATCAAGCTGTCTACACTCCCAATTCTGAGAATGTTCCTTTTCAACAGTTTCTCCTGTTCATTCCATTTCTCAGACTGAAGTTACAGCCAATCACATTACTTCGACTTACGCTCACATGTTAACATTCGAGCATCATGGAAAGAATGGCGCATATTATCGCGAGAAATATTTTAGCAAGTGTATTTTTCTCTTTATTTCTTACTTTTATTTACATTTTTGTTAGTTGCAGAAATATTAAAACGTATGCTTGAGTTGTATTTAAATTTTAAGTAATCTAGGCATCTATATTATTCTTGAACTATTACTGCATGTGCATGCATAGGGTTCATAGAATAACGATTTATACAGACTCCATTGCATGAGAAGAAAGTATTTTTAATATTTTTTTACTGGGATTCTTAATGAGATTTTAATAGAAACGCTTTGTTCACATGTTCCTTACATAAATTCCCATTAATATCCCTGTTACTTACAAATTAATTATTTATTTAGTTATATATAATATTTTTAAATTTTGCATTATATTTTAAGTGTTAATCGCAAATTCTTTTGTTATTTTTAATGTTTACTTTTATTTTAAAGGATGTAATTTAAATTATGTTTTATTAACTGCTGGTATCCAGAAGTTTCTGTAAAACTAAATAGCTAAAAACAAAGCAGTTGATGCATAGAAGTTGCATAAGCATAATAGTTGAAAGCCTGAATTCATTATATTCTTATCCTTGCATATAAAGTGATACAGTGTTCATAGAGATATTAAATTTGTTTGTTGATAAATTGAATTAGTGGAAAATTTTTGAAAGTTTTATATCGTAGTTACAAATTAATTAAAATAGAGCTGAATGCTTCTTAAATTTTAATGAATGTAAAAATATAAGTAAATGTTTAAATAGTTTTACTTCTGAGTTCAGCCCCTGATTTGTTCAATTCTGAACTTCAATTCAGAATTTCAATTTTTGTTTGTTTAAGGGCTTTAATATGCTTTGTCATTATAATAAATTTTTATGTTGACCATTTGACGAAATTTTGAGCTGAACTGTTTACAAAGTATTGTATTGAAATCAAAATGGTAAAAAGTTACTTCATTAATACTTTAATTTTAGCATAGTCAATCAGAAAAGTAGATGGGTAATGTGCTTCCATGATTCTTTGATTCTATGATTCCATGATTCTAGTGATTTCTTTTGTGTTGTCAACAAGAAGTGAGTAGTATAAGCAATACCTATGTCAGACATTAACTTCCTTTTATTTGAAATATATTTCTTCCAAATTACGAAAATAATAAAATTTTCATAGACCATTATTATTTCTTACTAGGGTGCGGGAGATTTTGGAGTTCAAATCTTGAACTTTATAATTTTATCTAAGTTTAAATTAGCCAGTTGAAAAGAGTGAGTATATCTGTAATTGATCGGTACAGTAGTTGAAAAATAAGTATTTGTAATTGTATTTCTTAATTTTAATAATTATTCTGAAAAATTCCTTAACCTTATAAATTTTTCTGCATAATTTGGATAATTGCTTATTCTTAATTATAAATTTTTTTTAAAAAATCTTTTACTTATTTGCAGTCAGTATGTCTCAATAGCAAACCTGTAAATATCATCATACATTGTTTGAAATTTTAGATCATATTGAACAGTAATCCCATATTTTTTAAAAAATTTCTGCAACCTTTTAGTATCAAATTAATTCTCATCCTACAAATTAATCCTACAAATTTGTAATTTGCATTACAATGTATGTTTTACTCATTTTGAACAAAAGGGTGGTTTAATTTAATCTTATTAAAATAGTATCAAATTTCTATGGTATTATGTTTCAAGATCTTAATAATAAGATTAAATATTGAGTTTAATTTCTCCAGTATGTGTTGTGTGTAGACAGTGAATTTTCTTTAAATGTATGATTGAACAGTTCCCTGAATATTCGTAATATTACTCATATGCGAAACAAATTTGCGGGTCTTAACCCTAAATACTTGTACACATGACTAAAGAAGCCCCCACGCAAAATTTCAGTTTATTTCAAGTACATTTAGAGGTAGCTCAAAGGCTTTGAAGTGTTTACTTTGAAACCTTAGAAAAATAATTTCCATATTATCACTATTTATTATTTATTTACTAATTTTCATAAAAATGGTCATATATTATGTTAAATATAATAATTATTAATATAATTATTATATAGTAAACATTTTGCTTCTTGTTTTGGCAACACCAAATTACGTTATTTGGGTTTGGCAACACCACATTGTTTGTTTACATCTGTGACCTGGTGAGATTTTATTGAAACAGTGTCAACAGATTTAGAAAAGACTGAAATTTGGTTACTAGGTTTTCCCATAAGTGAAATAAAAGGATGTAAACTACCTTCCATTAATGCAGTACTAAGAAACTTCTTCTTTCACCATGAGACAAAAACAATACATGAAAGTGCAAGTCACACTGTTGATAGTGTGTTGACCTTCTGGAATAAGGCTAAAATTCCTACAACCGAAAAGCAGAATGCAGTAAGAAAGGTTAGAAAAATTGGTTGAGCTGTACCAAAAATTGAGAAAGAACAGAAATCGGCGTACGAATACTCAAGAAGATAATGAACAGAAGTTTATCAAAGAATGCAAGATGTTGTGGGATATCGCTCATGTCGGTGCTTTACAGATGATAAAAATTGAAGAGGATAAGAAGTTTTTGCTTAAACAGCGAGAAGGATTTGAAGGCTGTATGTTGTCAGTCGACAGAAAACTTGAGAAGAAAGAGAAACGCTCATCTGAAAGGAGGCGATATGAGACACTACCATCTAATAGTGTGGACATGAATAAAAACAAAACTGTGTGTTATCCTTCATCAAGTGATGAAATTAAAGAAGACTGTGGTTCAACTAGCTCATCCTCTGAAAGTGATACTGATGATGATGCTTTTCAATATCCTAGTACTTCAGGAAAGACAGCAAAGGGGAAAAAACAAGCTTCTTTCACCTAATTTGATGTCTGCATTGGATCAAACAAAAACCTCGGATCACAGTGCTACATTTTTAATTGCAGCAACAGCCCAAACAGTTGGAATAAATGTAAGTGAAAGTACTGTTTCACGAACTACACTTCGCAGACGCAGAACAAAATTTCGAGCCCAGTTAGCGAAGGATTTGAAGCGTAACTTCAAACCTGATGGTCAGCTTGTCGTCCACTGGGATGGGAAACTCATGGCTAGTATTTCTGGAGAAATGGAGGAAGTTGACCGCCTTCCTATTCTTGTCACAGGAAATGATGTGGAGAAATTACTCGGTGTGCCAAAACTGCCAGTTGGTACAGGCAAGGCAATTGCAAAAGCAGTATTTGATACACTTAATGATTGGGAGATCATAAATAAAATTCAAGGCATGTGCTTTGTCACTACATCATGTAACACTGGTATTCACACAGGAGCATGTACATTATTGGAACAGAAGATTGGAAAACAGCTCCTCAGTTTGGCTCGCAGGTATCATATTTCTGAAATCATTATTGGTGATGTGTTTTCTGCAGTATTTGGACATTCTAGTGCACCTTGTGTTTAAGAGATTCCAAAATCACTGGAATTTTATAGACAAATCTTCTTTCAAATATCCAGAAGAAACAATAGTACCTTCAGAAAATTGGAAAGTATTAAAAGAAGAAGCTATTAAATTTGCCAAACATAATCTTACATTTGAAATAAAATCATTGGCAAGAAATGACTACAGAGAGTTTTTAGAACTGACTTTGATTTATTTTGGACAGGTGCCTCTACGTGGAGTACATTTTGCAGCACCAGGAGCATTCCATCATGCATGGTGGATGGCCAAAGCTATTTACTGTTTAAAAATATACATGTTTCGTGAACAGTTCAAGCTCACACAAAAGAAGCTAAAGGGTTGAAACGATTTAATGATTTTAGCACACACTTGTACATGAAAGCCTGGTTTCGCTGCTCTAACGCAGCTGATGCACATTTCATAGACTTAGAATTTTTGAAACATTTAAATTTGGTGAAAAATGAATGCAAAGAAATCTCAAAAGCTGCAAGCAATGGGTTGAAGAGGCATCTGTGGTACTTAAACGGTAACATAGTCATGCTCACCCTATTCAGCTGTCATGTAAGCACAGAAGATAAGGTTTTAATGGTTGATAAGTTGTTTAAAATAGATAAGCATATAGAAGATGTAACCAATGCTTCTAAACGATTAAAGGAAGAAGAAATTGGAAATGTTAATGAAAAATCATTGTATGATTTTGTTAATGAAAAATCTTGGATGATATTTAAGTCATTGAATATACAAGGCCATTTCTTACATTCGTCCCCATCGGAATGGAAGAAATTTGATTCTTACCATGATGGTGAAAAGAAAGTGAAATGTTTAAAGACAGTAAATGATTGCGCAGAAAGGGGTGCAGCGCTCATTACAGATTACAATAAACTGATAACTAAAGATGAAGAACAGAAACAATTCTTACTTCAAGTTGTGGAATCCTACAGGAAGAAATTTAAGGACACTAAAAAAACCACACTTGTTCAAAATGTATGATTTTTTATTAGGATTTTCTTCATATTTGCTTACTAATAGATATTGTGTTGGCTCGCTTCCTTGTATTTTATGATATAAATAAGAAATATGTATATATGAGTGTACAATCCATGGTTTTTGATGGGAAAATACAAATAAAGGCATAGTGTCAATGTTTTTTTGTCATATATATTCATATGAAATGCGAAATCCCAAACTTCAAAGTCTTTGAGCTACCGCTAAATGTACTTCAAATGAGTTGAAATTTTGCATGGGGGCTTCTTTTGTCATGTGTACAAGTATTCAGGGTTAAGACCTGCAAATTTTTAAAAAAAGTTTTTTTTGGACCAGTCTAATATGCATACATATTTTGATTTTTGTAAGAGTCACATATAATTAGAATTCTATAAAATCTGCTCTTTGTGCATTCTGGGTCTTAGTCTAAGTAATTTACATCTGTAACAGCTAGTTTTTGAGTTTTTAAAATGCATAAAAGTTAATT